ATAAACATGAAAACATTTTGGTTGAAAATATAAGGAGATTCACTATGACTGAAACTCGTAATCAAGCTATATCTGGCTAAGTAAGAAATAAAAAGCAATGCATCATCTCAACATTTTTAACTCTGCTAAGCACTCTAAGTTTTTAGTCTATTTCTAATCCGCTGAATACACGTATAACTCTATGCAATAGAAAGCTTTTAAATCAAACTACTATGAATTGATGCAATAGATAATTTTAGGTTCAATCGTAAAAAAATATAAACCCTCATACTTCCAGATCCGTTCAAATGTGAATCATACTTGGTTCTAGAATGGATATCAAGATGAAACGAAAAAAAGCATCATCATTTTGTGAAATGATTTTTAAGATTTTTTTAATTCATTCCAAAATATGTTTCTTTACAAGCCAACATATTAGCTATTTAGTCAGTGAAAGATAAAAGACCACTGAAACTACTGTTAAAACACTTTAAACAGCTTTTCCGATGTCCTATTATGGGGTTGTTGCTGTCGTGGTTGAGCGCAGGGATATTTAAAAGTCAGGGGATAACAAAAGCTTCAAAAATTGAACCATCAAGTTCATAAAAAGCAACACTTGATGTTGTTACATCTCATCTTTTAAGATTTGAGGAAATACTTGTAGGTTGGAAAACAATGAGGATATTCTACTAAATGAATTACCTCACATACTGTTTAGACTGTCAACCAGGAAACACGTCAATGTAAAGTGAGTATTCATTACACTCTCTCCATTAGGAAAATAACTTATTACATTTACGGTTCCTGGAACAAATATATGTACACACACACACACACACATAAAACAGTACTTTTGAGGCGGAAATAATATATGCAGTGCAATCGATGACTCACAGTAGTGTACAAATTCTAAATTACCGGAGTGATAAGTATGAAAATATACTTTACAAATAAATATATATATGTATATAAATAATATGCCTATCTCCAGAACTTCTGATAGTTTTAAATTAGCAGTTTTAAGTCCGTATGGAAACAGGCACATGAATCACATTAAAGGATCTTTGAAACTAAATTGATAATTGTATCCCTAAAATACATAATTTTAGGACTTTAAAAATCCATTTAAAGTACCCCAGTTAAACAACCATCATGAAGATAACTAAGAATTTTAAGTCAGTAAGTCAAATTATTTTCCAATATCTATTTGTACACATTTTTGGAAGCATCAGTCCTAATTTGAAATTGTTTGATGTAATATCACATAAGACTGATAAACTATAACTTATCAAGTAACTTTAAAACTACGAATAATAATTAACTCGAAATAAAATGTTTCTCACCATACATATTTATATATTGTTGCAACATTTTAGAATAAGCATCGAGTTTACTTATCTTTAAAACCTTTTACTTTTCAAAGAAATCTTTTCTTCTCTAGTTCATATATTAAATACCAAGGAAGACAAAACTTTTAGAAGAACTACATTATAACCAGAAAAATGCAATTAATCATAAAATTCACACATCTACTTCCCTTGACAAGTATGAATAAAGCAAGAACGACAGTTTGTTCAGGATAAAATGCTAACATCACCCATGTCATTGGCCTCTCATAAACTGCTTACATCCCAAAAACATCATTAAGCCTATCTATGCACAGAAACATTTTTAACATACACAGAGAGTTCATTTTTAAGCAAAAAATAAATATATGCATACAACGGTAAAGACAATAATAATGATAATCACTTTATCCCAAACAATAATAATCGCACAGATGGGAATTTTCTGGTGTTATATAGTCAAATGAAAGAGAGGGTAGGGAAAGATTGATAACCCCTTCTTTCTGAATTCATAAATTGGGTTCCAGGCGCTTGATAGAAATCGGTTCGACAAACTTGAGGCAATTTTGAAAGCATTTTCTCCCTTGAGACGTAAGTTGTTTGGAACATGTTCAGATAATCAGAAGTATGCCCTTCTTTCCGTTCCATCAGTTTAACTGCTCCAACAGATACGTGTAAATTTGTATGCGCAGTTGGAGTTAACATGAGAAGGGTATCTGTCGAATCTCCATTGCACCAAAGAGCATGCTGTCAAATAGAAGGGAGCCAGCTTAACAGCAGAATAATAGGCTCTGGTTAGTAACGTTCAGAAAGAAGTAGTTATCAATCTTTCCCTGCCCTGGTAACTGAATATTTCCATTCTCTCTTTCATTTGACTATATAACACCGAAAATTTCTAATTTGTATGAATATTATTGTTTGGGATAAAGTGACTATTATTATTGTCTTTACCATTGTATTCATATACTAACTTTCTGTTTAAAAATGAACTCTCTGTGTATGTTAAAAGTGTTTCTGTACATAAGCTTATTATTGTTTTTGAGATGTAGGCTGCTGATGAGAGGCTTATTTAGATAGGTGATGGTGGCATTTTATCCTGAACAAGCTGTTGTTCTTCATTTACTCAAAATCATAAATTCTTTTGAATATCAAACATTAAAATGTAAGCTTAGAAAGTAGACAGAATTACAAAATTTGGTATTTATTTATCTATGGACGAAAATGAAGATTATAAAAAACACTGTGTACTCGATAGGAGATCAGAATTCGGGTATTGTGAACGAGTACTTTTGCATAGTAGAATAATTTTATCTGAAGTAAGACAGAGATGCAGCATTGTATGTTTACTGATAAGAATAAATTTGTAGTAATCGTGAATAAATTATCGTACTGCATCACTATGTCAAATCAGATAATACTATTCCTTTATGGAATCCTGTATACTACTCGTTCAAAATTTTCTGCGTTAGATGAGTAAAATGACTTTGCATGCTTATTTCAATCCATAACAGTAACTATGACAGTTTTATCAGAATCTGTTTAATCGAAACTATTTAGTCATAGATGTGGTTTTGTGAGTGTTATTCACCGTTGCCACTGACCCAGACGTACCATATCACATGGATTTCTTAAGACTTTAAGTTGTAATCGATCATGAATTTAGACTCTTTATCGGATCACAGAAAACATGTAGACGGAAAAGCTCTTGTGTGTTAATTGTAGTTTATTTCTCCCCGCATAGACCTATACAAAATTAGTAAATTGTAAAGTAATACATGAGATACGAGTGTAAACATATATACATCAAACACTGAGTAACTACTCTAAGAGACGATCCCAATTGAATGATTTTGAATTGAAGCGTCATAGAGATGTTAGGATGGCAGGACCGGATATAAGCCTAAATAAAACTGTCAAATTCAACTGAATATTTTGGATTTCCTGCCCTCTGATATTGCTGAGCCAAAGAACGGCGTCTGTGGCACCAAATGAGTCTCTAGTATGGACTCTCCGATGGCATATTGAGGTGTTATTTGACCGATGGTGGATATCAGCATTCTTCTAATGACTTATCAACTAGATGTACCTACATATCATTCGGTGATGGTGTTATTAATATAACTGGCATTCATTAGCTGTCATTCCGTGCACCAAAAATTCCAGTGTATGAAAATGGATACCGCTTGCATGAAAGACTGCACTCGTAGCTCAGTAGCCAAGTGTATTGTGCTTACTATCTGAATAGATGGTTAATGGTTTCCACAGTCAGTCAGATGCAGACCGATTCAGCCAACGGATGCCACACAAAAGAAAGGACACATCCAGGATACCACTGTCAGTTAATACAAAAAGAACGAATTCGTCATGAACGACTAGGATACACTTTTCCACTATAATGGAATCCAATTTAATATTCACAGGTAATATGGCAGATGAAGACAGTCAGACTTCAAATAAAATGCGTGCCGAAAATTGACAGGGACTTTAGACGGGTACAAACACAGCCAATTTTGAAGTCAGCATTTTATTCTATCCCTGGAATAGACGTTTGTCTGAAATTAAATCCCACAAGAGAACGAGCAGTGTGGTTTTGGAACATATTCTAAATTCCCTTTCCACTGAAAAAAACTATTATAACTGGTTACAAATCTAAACATTCCTTTCACCAGACAGTATAGTGCCGTTTAACTGATCACATTGCACTGCACAACGCATACTTATTTACATGTCTGTAAAAATAAGCTTATTTAAAGTAGGGTAATTGCTTCGTAAAAGTAATAGTGTGGAAAATGTACCTTCAGGGAAGCGAATTTGTAAACTTTAATCTCTATCTATATGGCATATCTAGATAAAGAATTTTCAAAATAAAAAATGAAAAACAATTATTTTATTTATAACAAAACTTACTGGATAAATAAATGGTGAGACTAGTGTCCGTATATAAACTTTTGTGTGCAGAAAAGCAGAGAGAAATACTAAGATCTGTCAAAATGCTAGTGATCCATGAATTCTATTCCTGACTGTGTGCGAGACGACTTTCAACTCGCCTAATCTACTCGGCCAACGACTTTCTGATAATAAAACGGGAAACAGCCCAACAAACCATTCACTTTTCTATTGATATTGAACGTTAAAACCTCATGCCGTTCCATTTACTTTAGTTCACACTTAACTTCCTTATCTTCACATTTAATAACTTCATAAGTGATATGCGATATTTCTATCCGACAAGTGCTTCATATATATATATATCACAATTTTGGCTTTTAATAATGTCATCCAAGCTAAATATGGGAACTGAGCATTTGAAAGTAGAAAGTATTTATAGGAGGTTCTACTTAGGTCAAGTGTAAAGGATTTTAGCACACACATTGTCATAAACCATTCGCTGACCAGAAATTAAATTTGAATAACACATTCAAAACCAAACGTTATATAACCCAGTGAAATACAGCCGCACTATGTGTTGGAATGCAACAATGACATGAGAAATTCATGCAATCAGCATTTTTATTGTTGTGTGAAAAAATAATAGTGTTACTAGTAGGTTTTCAAAAAACAACCCTTTATTTAAAAACAGAATAATATAGACAGTCAGTTGATCATTTATGCAAAAATACAATAAAATTTAATAACACCACCATTTAGAGTAGCTGATGAAAAAAGCAGACTTACGAGGTAACTTCTGACAAGCTTCACAGCGTCCATCAAGAACACACCGCATGCTCTTAAATACTTCATTATATTCACATTTTTGTACTAAGAAATCAGGACCTGGATGCTTCAAATGCTTGGCACACTTCAATACATATTCTGGGAGCTTAGTAGTCCATAGATCGTGTACAACTGAACAGCCTGCATTTGCTGGAGCTATCCATGCTTGCTTCTTATCCGCAAACCTAGTCACTCTAAATCTTGACTGCGAAGATAACGCCTTTAGATCTTCTTCCGTCAATTCTACTGTACGCTGAGATATGTTTTCATCCCTCATATTTTTCAAGACGGACTTGGACAGACGTCCTACGGAGCGTCTTTTAAGATCCGCCTCACCTTTTGTATGCTTGAATCGCTTTTTGGAAGACCTTTTTAATTTCACTTCCGGATTCACTGGAGGCAAACTAGGAGAAACTGCTTCTTCACAGCCACAATCTGCAGTTGGTGAGGTTTTATTTTCTGAATTTATTTTTTCATGCCTCACACTCAATAACACAAATCCAGGTCTCGTATGACCCCGCATATTTTCAACTATAACATTGCCTGGTTCTGGAGGAAATTCCAAGGAGCCTCTCCGCACGCACTGATGTATATCTTTTATTGTTAGTGCCTGCGCAGTTGGACCACTCGCATTCGAGTCAGTTATTGATTGACTAACCGGAGATGTTTCTTCTTGTGTACCATCATGTTGGACAGTATACGGGTATAATACAATAGGCTGACCCGGACACTCTACAGTAACAGAACCTTTTTGACTAGTATTGCTACTGTCATCCCTTGGGGTTATATGTAAGGAAAGACCACTTTCTCCTTCAAACTTGGCTTCAACTGGTACTAGAAATGTAGACATATCTGAGTGTTCACTATTTACAGCCCAGTTTTGATTGGGATGCTCATTCAAGCCAAAATTTTGAACATTGCAAGGGAGCGGTTCTTGATTTTGAGACTGAATGTTCGACTGGCTTTGGAGTGGAATGGTACTTTTGACCGTATTATGATGTTCTGATAATTGCAGCCCAATCAACTCTTGAAGCAGCAGTAGATAAAAGTGCCTTTGAGCATTGAAATCCATATCTCCGAATTGCAGGCTTTGGAGTGGATTTTTAATATTATAAGAGGAGCTTGTTGGTCTCTGCTGAACATTCTGGACGTTTGTTTGAACCACATCAACATTATTTAAAGCGTCCAATGAGTTTGGGAAAATGAACCCATGACAGATGGGGTGACTGTAGCTTTGTGGAAGTTCATTCTGTGTTTCGCCTGAAATGCTTGCTGGTTGAAGTGATAGAGGAACATTTGTAGGATTTAAGGGCATGTATATTACTTCGTTGGTGGGGTTAATTAGATTTTGTGAACATTCAAGAGGATAGGCGTTAAAAGACGTTTGACGAGTGATATTACTAATCCTTTCTTTATCTGAGTTTGTATTTGATCTCTGAGTGTTGAAGTTATCCAAAGAAGAGCCTTGTGAAGAAGCTGTCATCGCAACATCAAGGTGAGATTTAATGACACCTTTCGAATTTGTACGCGAATTATAATTTTTGCATTCACGCATACAAACACTACAAATTTCAGACGGCCTCAAAATCATGAATACTCTGAGCACAATATTGCATACACAGTACCTTTACTAGACTTCTTTGAGGAACAAAATAATTTTTAATACAGTGAAGTGGTACATTGCTTTTTAAAAGCTGCGAAATTCGGTATATTTTGCATCGAGTTTTTCACGCTTTTACCGATTTTCACGGGTGAATCCCAAGGAAATCAACTGCCTATTCCCAGTATTTGATACGATGGGGTGTCAACTCACTTCAACATTGATGAATAATGAATGGTTGTACTAACACTTTGTTTCGGATTGCTTGATCTCTGTTTTTGAAGTGTCTCAATTAACATGTCTTGTCCGAAATCATATGAACGTTATTTCGACTTTTATCCCCCTAAATTAGCCTCAGATATCATGTTTAAAATACAGTGCACCATGTGTGTAAGGAAAGATGATAACATATCTTTAAAATGTTTGTGAACAGCCTGTACAAATCCGCTGATTTCTTGACTGTTGCTTCCCACTGTTCCGAAAGAGTTTTGGATCTTTAGAAGGTTCCGACAGGAGTATTCACCCGACTACAGTTACTCTGACATGCCGACCAAATGTAAAGTGTTTAATTTACCTCGGCCTGAGTACATAGTTAGAGCCAGTGAAATATAGCTCTTGGGATTGGAAATTCTCGAAAACACCCTGAAATTCGTAGTAGCTAGAGCACAGTAAGTAAACCAATAGAAATTGTAGATGGAACAAATAAAAGATAATACCAGAGACCGACTACCGTACAGATAAAAATCAGATAGGAGTATATGCGAGAAAACGTGGAAAAGTCGTTAAACGGAAATTGTCTGAATTATTATTAATAATTATTGTTCTTTTGATAAATTTATCATTGTTAATCATTCTAGTTGTAAAGCGGTTGTTAAGAAACTACGTAATGATATCATCTCGCGAAATTTGTCTTCTTAATGCCTTATTGCTTCCGGGGGAAACATGGGGCTTCAACAACATTTCTCCGCTTTCTTCTATTTTCCTCCGTCCTTTTCATCTGGGTCCATGATCGCCCATAGTCCCGTCTCCCAAACAGTCTCCTCCATATCATCCTCACACCGAGGACCCACTCGTCGCTTCCAATCAAGATTCCACTAAGGGGAGGGCCTACATTTCGTGTGATGTCATTCGATGGTTTCACAAACATATTCCTAATTCATCTCCATTTCCTCCTACTTGTTTTTTGAGCGATCAGCTCTTGGGTAGTTTGTTCATTGCCAGAGTTTCTTGTTTCTAATTCTTTCTTGATTTTGATCCAGATCTTCTGTATGGAGTCAGAGAGGAAGACAGCTGTTGGTGAAAGTCTGAAACATGGTGGAAATCCTTTTCGTGATACGCAGTGCAAGCTTATGACGCATATAGAAAGAGTAACTTGACATTGGTGTTGAAAATGCTAACCTTGTTCCTTATGCCGAGTGCGGAGGATTTCCAGACTGCTTTCGGGTTGATAAAGGCGCATCTTGCCTTTCCAATTCTGGCCAACTTTGACATCTAGGTACGTTCAGCCTGTAGTTGAAGCAATGCTCTTAGATAAGTGAAAGAAGTAGTCCCTGTTATATACCATTCGTTGATGTTTGCTCCTGGTGGTTATTGTTGCTGTTGACTGGTTAGCTTCATCTCCTCCGTCTTCTCTGGGCTCTACTCATTTTTTTTCTCATTTTTTACATGAGGGACTCCAGTTTACAGACATCATCAATATGATAAGTTACACATAATATTAATAAGCATATTTAGTAAAGATAATATAACAAGGTACAATTTTTTCCCTAGCTATGTAGGGTACACCAATTGCATAGGCATGCATAAATATTGTTTTAATAATAATAATATATTCCTTCCTGTTTAGGCAAGAACATACTTATTGTACAGGCATGGATAAGTTGTTATATAAATTACACAATTTGATGTATAATGGATTTACAGTTTGGTTGTTCTTTCTGACATTAGAGTCCATCGGAACAGTCTGCTATAAAGTCTGTTTGTGCAACAAATAAAGAAATATAGAAATATTGTCTTCGCATTAACAAAAAACCCAGACATCAGATGAATGTAATACAGATATCTGGGAAAAATAAAGCCTGAAGTCAATTCTCCTATAAAACTTTGTTGTGAACAGCACCCATGGCTTGGTGTTTATTGATGTATTATGTTGAGATCAGTGATATATTTATTCCACTTTTTCAGCAGTCTTATCGTAGTTTTATAACAGGAAAGAAATTTGATCGTGGATACGAAAACTAGATAAGGTCATGTTAAGTTGTTTTACTGCATCAAATGGTGCCGAGGTCGATTCCAGAATTCTCCATTTGCTCCATTTGTGTCTGCTTGATGGACTGTATTCTTAAGTTCAGTAAAATGTTGAAAACTGTTTGAAAACCAGTTGCTTCGTCATTTCAGATCATGAATACTCATTTACAGCATGTTCGCCAGCGTCTTCAAATGGTAGGATTGGATCGTTCATGGAATTTGAGTGATTATGAGATAGACGGTTTGGAATTAATCCTCATTTCAGTTTAGAAGCAGGGTTTTTCGACCTCGACCAGAAGATGAATAGGAGCAGCAGAATAACAGAAAGAGAAAGTGTGTGAAAATGAAAAGGACATTAATATTTTATGCACTTATAAATGTCTATTTCAATTGTATATTATACATTAGTAAAAATTTACGTTTTAGTTGTGTTTTCACGTATTTATGCGAAGTCTTAGAGTTTATTTAGTGTCATAATGTGTATTAGTGAGTCTGAGCGTTTTAGCGTTCTAATGTCTGGTGCGTTTTAGAAATAAGTGATGGGTTCTGGTAGGGATAGTCATTGAGATGAAAGCTTATATAGCAAGCGATTGAAGGTTACGATAGAGTGACAGGTCCTATTTCTAAGGGTAAACTATTCCTGTATGTTCCGTACAAAGTCTCTATGCATCCATTCTGCTAGTTTATTTATAGTTTTTAGATTGCTAAGGGTGTTGAAGTGCGTCTTTTAGGTGCTGTAGTAGATTAGTGATTGATTCGTTCTAGGAGCACTAATCACTAGTTCGTTGAAGGCGTAGAGGTCGGCGAAGAGTTTTCCATTTTCATACACTTCTCCGAGGGCTTCTCTACCTATGATGAGTTCCCTCCCTGTGTTGTCTGGTTCAAGTTTGGCGTTCATGTCTCCCATTAGTATTTTAATGTCGCCAGCTGGAGTACTGTCCATTGTTGCCTGTAGTTGTCTGTAGAATTCTTCTTTCTTTTCGAGGTCTGCGTTGTTTGTGGGTGCATAACATTGTATAATTGACACAATCCTTCCCTTGGAGTTGAATCTGGCGGTCATCATCCTAGACGAGATCGCCTCCCATTGCATCAGGGCCTTTGTTGCCGTTGGTGACATCATGATAGCCACGCCGTTGGTGTGCATGTGGTTATCTTATGGTTACCGGGGTAGATCACCGACTCACTTGTTGACAATTCGATGAGTTCATTCCCGTTCCATCTGCTTTCACATATTCCCGGTTTTTGGATTCCGTGTCTTTTTTCATCTTGTTTGCGATCTGGGCAGCTTTTCCAATCTCGTACATAGTGTAGACGTTCCATGTCCCCACTCAGACTTTTTATTTTGACACAGAGTTTCATCGTGCTGAAGTTTTTGCAGCAACTTTGTTTACAGGGTGGGGTTGCTACCCTCACGCCTGAGAAAGGAATTTTTACATTAGGATGAAGTTTAGAGAGAAGCGACCTTGTGGGTTGCTCCCCTTAACACCGGAAAACAAGGAATAAACAATCAGAACAACACCAGCAAAAAGAAAAGAATTCACAGCAAAAAGGGCAACAAGCGACAACAGCAATACAATACAACAACATACAATACAGCTGAGCACAGTTAACTAAAATGATACCAAAACCAGAGACTCACTGACTTGGGCCAACTTGAACATATAAATCTAACAATATTTACGTTTACAGGCATGAGTTAGTGCTACAAAGTCGCAAAATGCTAAACAGTTAGTTATAGGTATTAATAATAATAATAGTAATTTTATTTTCATATAAACATATAAATTTACATGAAAATGCATGCCATTTTTACAGGCACGATCAAGCATGTTATAATGTCAAATCTTAAATTGTCTACGAGTTAATAATGTTTCAACAGTTAAATATTTGATACATATGTATAATTACACTCATTGTCTGAACCAGGTCGTATAGTTATTGAATTGTACAGTTGTCCTCCAGGTTGAGCGGGAAAATCGACTTCGTTTCGTTTTCATCCCGTGGTTGGGGGCATACGATAACCAACCAATATTGAGGTAAATACAACGTTTACAAGGGATTGGAAGCTGTTTTAGAAAAGTTAAACTGCTAAGATGAAACATTAAGGTGTAATAGATTAAGTGAGTGAAATATATCATTAATAAACACATTTATATAGAAAACAGAATGGGGAAGTAATTAATCCTTAGGCCGACAACGTTCATTTGCAATGTATAATACTATCCATATAGTTCGTACTATCATGATCTCCACTTTTGGCTTTAATACATTTATCCTCATGCCAGTTGTTTTCATTTCATGCCTTTTTGACTATTTGGTGCACAACCGCACCCTACAGAGAATAGGAATAGAATAAGTCGAATCAAATTCATAAAGAGCTAAAAAATGTTACGTTTAATGGAATATAATGAGGATCAAGTAAAGACGCTATTAGAAAATAAGTGAGACAAGATTTTGTGAAGTGGTATTTAAAGATCTGACAATGGATAGCAAGTTAGTAAAATTTGTTTCTGCTCCTTGATGATCAAGTCCCATTGGACATCTTTTACTGATTTTATCATTTAAGTTGATCTCTACCCCGGTAAAGGCTAGTTTATCTGATATAGTGTCCTGAGGTCTCTTTTACCTACGGCCTGCCTGTTCTGCTTCATTTGCCAACCAGTGTGCGGTAGAATTGTCTTTTCCTTCCCTATAACTTACTCTTCTTCACCTCCCTCTTTATTCAGTGCAGTAC